GTTCTCGGAGCTCTGGGTTGATGGAAGATGTTACCTAGCAGGGAAATGAAACGTTTGCAAGAAAACAACCAAGCTCAGAGAACCCCAAGGACTCCCCAGTTCAACCCTGAGCTACACATATTCACCTCCAAAGCTGCCATTTGTCGTATTGGCTAGAGAGCACTGCCAGGAATTTCTGCTCAGTTAGGTTTGCCAAACAAGCCGGAGGAATTTTAGATACTGCCCGCCTGTCCAAAGAACTAATTAACTGGCTAACTAACTAACTCATTTGTTTCTTTTGTCATGTTTGTAAACCATGAGTAAAAATTTAAAAAAGGAGGGACTCAGCTGAATGAACCCATTATCGGGCACATACTGCTAAGCAATCAGCTACAGTTAAAAGCCTGCTGGAATAGGTTTGTTTTAACCGCCAGGAGGGAGCGGGCTGTACAGATTTCCAGGGGAAGTGGGTTCCAAAGCTTGGGGGCCACAATGGAACAGTCCATGTCCTGGGACTCAAGGTGGGCCTTCAACAGGTCTCCTGGCAGCATTATTTATTTATTTTTATTTATATTTCAAATTTGTCACCGCACATTGCACTATAGAGCGAACATTCTTACTGGACAGGCAGGGTCCGTCTTGTATGCGCATTCTCCTGGCTGATTGTGAATCAGGAGGAGGAATCAAGGGAAATGTGGGCGGCCAAGTTATAATTGCTAAAGCACAGCGGGACTGGTCCTTCTGCGTTGAGAGTAATAATAATGTGTGCGTTTAGTGCTCCACTCATCTGAATGGCCTTTTTGTGATGCTGGTTGTTGCATGGTCTGCCAGGTCACCTGATTGAAAACTGCCTTGGAAGGAACATCATCTGCTGGAAATAATTCAGTTTCAATTTCACATTGCAATCATCTCCTGGCTCCCTCATCAACAGGCTTTATCCTTGGGCCCAAGGGTACCTTTCCCCTTTTGCAAAAATCTGGAGGTGCTACCAGACTCCTTCAGATTTTTTGCTACCATCCACTAACCCAGCTCTCCTACAGTTTTTCCTTTTCCCTTGTCTCCTCCATTAGGACTGGCACCACTGGGAGATTATAGGCTATTAAAGCAAGGCTCCGGGTGGATTTTCACAGATCTGTCTCAGCTCAGAAATGCCACCTTTGGGTCTGAGGAAGGGAACACCCAGATTGGGGCTGAGAGCAGAAATGGAAGAGGTAGAGAAGGGCCAGAGAAAACAATCACAAGCTCTTCCATTAAACTGCAGGGCATGAAATAAGATTGCCAAGCATACCCCTCCTTCGTTGGTTAAAAATAATCCTTGTGAATTTATTCATTTGTGACACTTTTCATACCATGCTGGCTCCCATCTGTGAAAATTTTTGCCCACGAATACTTTTTCAGGAGGTATTTCCTAGGAAAAAGCGTTACAGAAGTCCTCAGTTTAGCACTATCCTTGCAGGTGTGAATTCAGTGAGTGGCCTTGGGCAAATCATTCTGGCAATCTTTATATCTACTGTATAGCAGTGTTTCTCAACCTTAGCCACTTGAAGATGTCTGGACTTCAATTCCCAGAATACCCCAGCCAGCATGGGGAATTCTGGGAGTTAAAGTCCACACATCTTCAAGTGGCTGAGGTTGAGAAACGCTGATCTATAATATGGGGAGAATTACACCAAACTACCTCGCAGGGTTGTAGCAAAGCCTTAGGCCAGATAAAGTACATATGGTACTGACTGCTCAGAAGGATTTTCTGACCTGTTACATGTGAGGTTTTCATGCTATCCATAACACTTCTCAAAGCCTAAATAATAAGATTTAACCCAAAGGACGTATCCACTTGAAAGGCCAAAATAGAAAGGGAAAAAGCTAGTTCTGCCCCATAATGACAGGAGTTCCTCTTTAATGCTGTACACTACGACAATTGCTACAGCAGAGCATCGCTTCTACCAGGCAGTTTAACAATAACTAGATTGCTGGAGATAAAAGATGTTACAGTATTAAAAGTTCGGGAGTGGGATGTCTGTGGAGCGAATAGACTTCTATAAAATGAGTTGCGTGCATGCTAAAAAAGCTTTCAGTCTGTTTTCTTTAAATATACTTTTATATTCCAGAATTTCAGGCTTTATTTCATGCATTTGTTCCTATCATTGAATTTGCTATAGCAACCTGTGTGAGGACAAGCCATTGCATTGATCTGAATGCCACAGATAGCTCACTTCACACGCTGCACTAAGTCATCACTCACTGAACAAAACTTGGTTGTTTGGTTCACATCTAATATTTAGCGCAGTGGATTCACATCATCTGCTAAGCCAGAACTAAACAAACCACATGACATACGAACTATAGATTGCCTCAGAATAGAGAGCCCCGCAAGGTCTAGTCCAGAACTGTAGCGTTTGAGCCAGCAAAGTTTTTTTTTACATGGCAGCAGCAGGAAAGTATCTTTGTGAACATGAGTTATGCATCTTGGAAGTCATTCCATGTTACAGGAAGACTATGCCAGACCGGAGCTAGCATAGAAACATTAAGTGATGTACAAGCATGTGTAAAGCAAGCAATGTGTATCCTTGGTTGTCCTTGGATTTGCCCAAAGAACAATCATGTTTGGATATTAGACACTTCTGATTGTTTTGGTAGAAATCAAACCAGATAGAGAAGGCAGTTGGCTTGGAAGCTGTAAAGGTGTTACAAGTTTTGGATTTGTCCGGGAACCAGATCAGCAGTTTGGAGGGTCTGGAAGAGCACAACCTCCTGGAGGACATCAACCTTGAAAATAACCAGGTAAGATTTACACAGCTGACAAGACTGAGGTGTCAACTGCTCTTAGGGGATTCCTCTTTTGAAAATCTTACAAAGGTCAGAAGAACCACATAGTGAGACTTTTCCAGAATCCTTGTCTTTTGGGTGTGCTTATATGATATTTGGAGGGTGGGAAAAAGGGAGGAAGAGAAGCCACTCTGGAAATGTAACATGCCTCAAGCTTGAGAAAGTGTGCTCTATACAAATTGGGCAGATCCATGTGAATAACTCCTCTTGTTTTGCATAATTTATTGCACAACTTTATCTGCCTGTCTGCCTGCCTATCTATCTATCTATCTATCTATCTATCTATCTATCTATCTATCTATCTATCTCACTCTGTGCACTTCTGGAACTCCATCCATAGCTGCTAGAAATCTTAAGCAGTCCCACTTGGGTGTTGGGAATTTCATAAGCCTTGCCAGTATAATTTCAAACATAACTTCAGAGCAGCCTTCTCCAAACCAGATGTGTTGGGATTATGATTCCCAGGATTCTCATCCAGCAGCTTCAGCACATCTGGAGGGCATTCCTCGGGGAAGGCTAATCTAGAGCCATAAGGGTTAGACACCTGAGTGTTCCCAATTCCCCCCCTCCAGGAAACAGAAAAAAAAAGTCTTGCATGCTGCATGCTCTCTGATAGGGCTGCTGCATCCATATATCAAGGATTCTGAAGCATTTTCCTATTTCCTCCCTCTCTCCTTTAATAAATACTGTTCTTTTGTCTTAATCAGGTGTCTGAACTCAGTGAGCTGGAATATATTGAATCTCTGCCTCTGCTGAGAGTGTTCAATCTGTTGAACAATCCAGTGCAGGTAAGGAGGAATCAATGAAATATTGGAACAGTTGTAAATTTTTATCACACTAATGTCATTTAGTATGACAAATAAATAGCAAGTAACGATTTGACGTTGAGTCTACAAAGGGAAGCATGACAGGAACATCCATGGCTACAAAGTGGGACGGTTGACCTGCCAGAATGGAAATGTGTTTGGTTTGCTTGATTAAGGGGTTTTTAATTTGGCGTCTTTATGCTTTTTATTGACTTTTTTCTATAGTCTTTATGTATGGTTTTATGCTTGGTTGATGCCCAGAATGGATTGCAAGATGAGCGGCCACATGCATTTATATAATAAATGCAATAAATAAAATGCAGACCCCTTCTTTGGTGGCCTGGCCATACGATTTTCTCTGAGTCCTAAGAGAGTTTATGGTCAGGCCTTGGCTGGATATGAGAAAATGAATATTGGAGAAACTGAGTTTGTAACATTCTACCTACAGATATAAAGAGCAAGTCATTACTCCCTAAACAGAGATCATAGATGTTTCTATCTTCACAGATCTGATTTATTTGATTTATATCCTGCCTCTGTGTTCAAACAATACTCAAGATGGTTAATGAAGTTCAGAAGCACATTGCAAAAGATTAAAAACATAAAATATACACTAAAACGATCCCACTGTTAAAAGCCTGGTGGGAGGGATCTTCTAAAAGCTGAGAGAACGGGGCCGAATGTTCCATAGCCTGGGAGCCACGCAGGGGAAGATGCTCTCCTGCATGTGAGGAAGACAACACTTTGAGCATCTTTCCTGCCCACCTCAGCCACCAGATGCGGTGCTCAGATTGTCGGCCCAGAGCTGCATAAAGCTTTGGCACCAATGGCTAATTTATGCCCATAAGCTTTTGACAACTAGTGTGTATTTTTCATGCAAATGTCAAGATGCAATTCCAGACATTTTGACTTTTTGCATTTTTATCCCCTGACTAATGCAAACTGCAAATTTCTTTCTCCCTCTCCCTGACACAAACACACACAGCCATACACATTACACGTCTACCCAAGACAAACCACATGTACGTTAACATCAGCCCCCTCCTGTTATCTGTGTCCAGGACTTTCCCTAACCTTGAAGGCTGTCTTCGAGAGAGAAATCTCCACCCTCAGAAGACCTCCATTGCTTAACAGTGACTTCATGCAGAGGAATGATGAGGGGTTGATAACCAATAATCTCTCTGATAAAGCAATGCTTGACCAGTGTCCCATAATATGCCACACTTGTCTCCCAGGACTAGGTTGGCACTCCAAAACTCTTGTTCACCCACTTCCCTCTTCGTGCAGAAGATCCACTTCCTGGGACCGCCATTGTTCAGATGGTTATTTTCCAGCCACATTTAATGTTTCCTTGGCTGTAAACTGTATCAAGGCCCGGGGGGTAAAATGCCAGGGATGCCAAGAGATGGAGGATTACCAAAAAGATTAAAGAAATCAAGGCAAAGCAACCTCTCCCCCTTTCTAAAAACATCTGCAGACCTTTGGAGAGGAGATGGCTTTTGAGGGATTTTTCCTTGGGAATCTGGGCCTTGTTTCTGTGCGAGAAGTGTGAGAGTTTCTTGTGATTAACGAGCCACTGGATCTCATTTGTCATGGCAGCAACATTTAAATCAGAATAAAATCTCATGTACCTGCCTGATGCAGCATCTGTTCAGAACTTGTTCTGAGCAGTGCGGAAGATTAAGCACTAAGCCTCTCAGTTCTGATGGCTTTTAGATAGTCTTCGAAATGGTTCCCAGGAGTCCAGGGAAGAAGCATTACACATTTCTCAGCATTTTTCTGCTTGGTAGATGTTGCCTGGCACAATCCACCAGGGATTCCTCCCTTGTGGGAGGTACAACCCTTTCATTTTGACAGAACGTTTGTGGGAAAAATTCCTGATCAAATGGGCTGTCGGTTTTTGGGCGCCTGACAATAAGGCGGCTGCGAATTGTTAGTGCTAAATTTATTCAGTCTCTGGAAGTTCACAAAACTGTACCAAGGAAATCCATTTATGTTTCGAAGACAGCAGTGCAAACCCAGAGTCAACTCATACTATCGTTAAGAGGTCTGAGTAAACTCAGCAGCAGTTTGGATTCATATGTGAGAAAAGATTTTTGGAGCATTCAGGGTGGGTCAAAGTAAACAAATCCTTGTTAAGGCCTCTTCTTTTATTTATTTAATAAATCTATATGGCCGCCCATCTCATATGCATGACTCTGGGCGGCTAACAGTTAAAAACAGAATGGAAACGTACAAATAATCAAATTTAAAAATGATGGAGATAATGTAAAATAACATAGCAGCCGAGAACGCTCAGTTAACACAACCAGGACCAAGAAGCAGGCTCGCCCACACTATCAGGACCCCAGGCTTGATGGCAAAACCAGGTTTTCAGTGCCTTGCAAAAGGCCAGCAACGTTGGGGAAACTAGGGGAAATTAACTGTATAGATGAAGTTTGGCTTTCCCACTTCCACAGCTTCCACAGTCTTCCACTATGCTTGGGTTCTTGGGCTTAATGGTGAACCCAGGGCTGCCATGGGAAGCAGAAACCCGGTTTCCTTTTTTTCCTTGTAACCTAGATAAGCACTATGGGTAGGTTCACCAACCCTCTTAAATTTGATGACTGAGGTTTGTGCAATGCATAATCTGAAAAACTAGCCCACAGACTGGGCTTGCACAACCACTAAGC